CCGAAGTTACCACAGAATTAAACCTTCACTATCTAAATCTCAAGGCAGTTAATTCCATCTCCAGTCACAGTATTAGTGCTGATGGAATATAAATTGGGGTTTTTAAGGAAAGGAAAATGCTGCAGGACCCAGAACTTTCGGGTTTTTGGGATTATATTTGTAGTATCGTGCTACTCCTGCATCACGGTCTAGGACATTTTGGCGCGGCTACATTGGCGCCGGGACATTTTGCCGCCTGGACGTTTTGTCAGGGGTACGAATCGAATCGTTTGTGGGTGCGGTTGCACGTTTATTTTTATATCGCTGCTTTAAGTCACCCTACATACCATTGGGATCTAGTTTATTCCGAGGTTTTCATGTCACTACTTGACTGGGAGGTTATTACTGTATTTCTTAGGTTTAGTTCTGTCCATTTTTAATTAACTACAAACGAAACGCAAGGGTTGTATAATAAAATCGTTTCGTTTACGAGACCCCATCAATTTTTTACGAGTGTTAAAGTAAATAACACACGAATGCCTCGTATACAAATACGCGTGTAGGTGGTGTACGTATAAAACTTTCCCGGCCTTATTAGGAGGAAAACTTCTGAAACCTGCAACGATTTTCTCTACGTTCTGTGAAAACTCTGACCAAATTTATCACTAATTAGATTAGCGGAACCGTGTTCCATCAGAACGTGGAGGGTTATAAATTTCTTCCATTTTTATTTCTCTTCTTGCCTTACGTTTATTTTCGTAAGTGAATCAATTATGTTGTTATATTTATTAAAGTGTAATAAAACCGTAAAGATATATCCTGTGACGCGAGTTACAACAGGACAGTGCCTAAGTTTCAAAATTTATATGCATGGGAGCCATTAAAATTCTTGAATTGTAGTGTAAATAAAATAAAATTGGTGATAAATTTTTAAACATAAAGCTGTTACTGTACAATTTGATTCTTGTATGGCGTCTGCTTATTAAGTTAGGATTTTCGTAACGATAAAAGACTTGGAAATAAATGTTCGTAATGCAGTATTTCTAAATCGTTGGGTACGCACAGAAAATCCTATTTAGTAATGTTCCGTATAATACCTATACACTTATCTATGCTTCATCACTGAGTATTTACGTCACTGAATGGAGTAGGGTAATGATTGATCACAAAGTCAAGCAATATCTAAGTATATGATCGAACTAAAGTCAAAGAAATAAGAAAACAAAGAAGGAGATTGATTTGTTCTGTTTGTGGAAGCAATATTGATATTACAATAATATGCAATACCCACACATATAACATATATCCCTAACATAATGATTGTTTTCCAGATAGATTGGCGTAATGTGTTGTATAAGGTGATCAATAAACGAACACCTTCAAGCTTATCAGATTGTTGGTAATATTATTAATAACTATAAATAATCCACACTTGCTGGCGTTTAACGGGATTAATAAAGAAAACTGAAAACTGTTGACGGAATCCGGATCGTTCAAATTCGATCGCCATTTTAGATTATGACGTCGCAAGGAGATCTTATCGCGCACCTGGAAATTTTCTTTGGATTGAGATCCTCGTCGTAGGTCACCTTTTGGAACCTTTAATTTGAAAGCTCAAATATACGGTGTGGAAAAGCCAAATGGAATAAATTCATTATTTCGATTACTGTACATATTTATGAAAATCCCGAAACGTGTCAAATTTAAATTATATAATTGACATTCTTCAACGTGAAAATGCGATCTCTAACTTCAACCCCCTTCCAGTGACAATTACAACCCTTAATTTTAACCTCACCAATAAAACATTGGGAGGTTATTGAAATCACTCCAAATATCGATTTTGAAATTTTTCCGGATCATTAGCTACGTTTCAGGGTCCCGAGCGAGTAGGTATTGCGTTTCTAGGTGTATCCAAGTGGCTTGTTTTTCCTTGTAAAGGATTATTTCCTAGAATTGTAAATTGGGCAATTTAGTGTTTAATTTGTTATCAATTTACTTAGTTAAATCTTTAAGTAACAGTGTGTTTCGTAGAAAAATTTAATTTGAGATAAGAGAATTCCGCCTAAAAATGTGACGTTAAGGAGGGATAAGGAACGTAGGCAGGATTAGCTGTTGCTACGCGTCCGTTATTGGATGAAGATTTAAGAATTTTGGAATTAGGAGAGGGACTTTAAATACTAAAGATGGCGTAAGGAGGGCGGCCTTGGACAATTTCGAGGCCGAGGTGCTGTTCGTTGAAAGGTTACAAGACGCGTGTACTACGTTAAGTTTCGTATTGTTCGACAAGTAAAGACTAGTTAGTAAGTCAGCCGAGATCGAGTGAAGACGTGACATTTGGGTGAAGAAGTCTCATTGAAGTTATTCGCCGGTTGTTTCGAACAGCCGTCGTTTCATTGGTCGTCTGTTTGGCTAGTCAGTCTAATTCAATGCAGCAAAAATGCGTCTCCTTAATTCCCGAAGGGAGCCCCATTCAGATAGGTGGTAGTGCGGTGCCGTTGCCTTGTTGTGCGGTGCGAGCTGGTGCTGTCATATTGACATTTGCTTTCACAATCACCACAAAATTGGCCCGCCTACACAAGTATGACCAATCAACGACAACAGCAACAAATATGTTGCGCTTCTATTGGTGCTTGCTAACTGTAGTGCAGAAAGTTTAAAGTTTACATACTTTCGGCACGCGGCTGCAATTCGCCTGCACTGCACATGTCATTGTGAATTGTCATATGGGTGTGCGTATTTCAAACTTTTGTACAAAGGCACCGCACCGCAACAGTACTGCACTACCACCTATGTGAATGGGGCTTTAAAGTGTAGTGCATCAAGGCTGGGGGGGATGTTTTGGAATTTTAACAGAATTTTAACAGAAAACTGTTAGTAGTTTTAGTGCGGGGTGTATAAAACGCACTTTATTATATTCTACTTTGTTTGCTAGAATTTTGTGATTGATTTGATTTGTTTTTTCGAATAAATTTAATCTGTGGTAATTCCTACAGCTCGTGACTCGTGTGTTTATTCGAACCATTTAACGATCCAGATAAATGCTTAATTATGATTAATTTTATTGCTCCGTTTATTTAAGGTATATTTGTGTGAGTAATCTTTTTGAAACTTCAAAAATTTCATCGCGGCCATTATTTGCCGTAAAATTCGGCATTTGGAAGTAGAGATTGGAATTTTTCATTACGCCGGGATTCCGATGTGTCCTGGGAGAAGAGCTAGCTACACTTAAGGTTAAGCATGTGGAAATTATCGAATTGTTTAATGTGTGTATGTATAGTGACTTATTTGCATTTTCGCCGACGGTCACTAGGGTGGCAAAAACTAACCAAATGAGTTACGATACCGGGGCTCATCTCGACAATCAACTGTAGTCTTGAAACTCCAAACGAGGGGCGAGTTATCTATCTCGGGAGTGAGATTCCGCTAATAAAAGCTCTTCGGTTTAGAATATATGTGTTATATGAATTGCGATTCACCAATTTCCACATATTTTTTATAATATTGTTATAACTTTATATTACACATTCACATCTCTACAAACGATTAATTTTGCTACACAATTTCATATGAAATTGTTGGCTGGTTTTTTCTCGGTTCTTTTTTCCAGCCTATTTTTGTTTTTATTCGATGAACTACCATTTCCAAAGTTTATTTTTGCTAACTAAATTTCCCAATTCTCACAATCTACATAATAATAGCAATAATTATTAAACAAACATATTACTATTTTATTATTTTACGTTATTTCCCAACCGCACCGCTTTTAACGTGCGTTTATTTTAATTTATCCCCCCCCCCTCCCATCAAACTCACGTGCTCCCACAACGGAGTGGGAGGCTCACAGTTTGATACAAATTTCGCTATAAGTGAGTTTATTTTGGTATACCAGTTATGTAGTTAACAGGGCGCACATGGCGAAAGCCTTGTACTTTACCGCTTGTTAAGAACCTTATGGTAGCAAAGGAGTCATTTGCAATTTGGATAATTTTAGTTATGTTTAGCTGTCTCCGATTCTCAATTGCAATCGATTAATCCATTGGATGAATAAGGCAAAGCATCCTGTTTCATATCCACGTGACATGGCCCCAATCCTCAGCCTACTGTTGAAGGATCAAGTTTGCAAGTTGACCAATCTAATTGTTTCTCCTTTTTTAATTGCGTAATTATTGTTTTAAATGTTATTGCTTTTGTAATTTATTTAGATAAAGTGTTAGAAGTAAGACACAAGTGATCGTTGCGAAAAGGAGACTTATCAGGCGAAAATTAATTAACGTACGCATCCCATCGCTGTTAAGAGATAAAGTGTTTCAAAGAATTGTAAGTTTCATTTTGGAGAAGTGGAAACGTTTGACGCATCCATCGTTGATTGGCGATTTATTTGAACAACTTTAAAGAAGGAGTTTATATAAGGAATATGATGGAAGTCATGTTTCCTTAAATACTGGACACAACGAGTAAACTCTGCAGGTGGTGTGAGTTTTCGCGGCGGTGAAAAGGCGTCCAAATTTGTTTACACTAAATTACGGGAAGTCAGTCCCATTTGTTTTGTTGAGAACGCAGTTGTTCGTCATTTTGTATAATAAATCTGCGCATAAGCACGTTAGCCAAAGTTGTGTTAGTAACGCGATTACGGAAAATGTTTTGTCAAGTTAAAGAAGGAAGCAGTGCAGTACAGCGAAACCGATTGTTATTAAAAGTTAGAAGTTTCTACCGTGCGAACATCCACCGAAAATGAGTTCATCTTACTCATCAAGCCAGTTTTGTTTGTCCTCTAATTCTGTGTCAGAAGTTGCCAGCGTTTGTTTGAGTGTAGTGTGCCTTATATCGCAAACCTTGTACGACCAGATTGTGGCACCCAGATGGCGCCCTGATAAATAATGATTTTCTTATTGCATTAATTGGCAATAGTAATGGCTAATATTCAAGTCATTTTCAAAAACATATAGATATCCCTACTAACCCCCCCTCCTCCCAGACGAATCGATAAAAACATATTGTATAGATATAGTGACACTTACCAATTGTAGCACCTCTTCTTTGTAAAAAGTACGAAATGTGGGGGTGAGACCAATCCTGTAATTCAAAGAGATGAATTAAAAAAAAATACAGTGCAAACAAAGTGAAAGCTCAACATATGAAGTGGGTTATGACAACAGTACCTCAAAAGTCGTTTTCACTGCAGTTGTGGAGGTACATTCCACAAAAAAAAACAATACACCCAATTTTGTTCTGAACATGTAAATATCTATTAACAGCAGTAATTAAATAACGTGTAACAAAGTGTAAGTTTCATAAAGATTATCTGGATTGTTTCTCTACATTTTAATTTCCGTAAGTATATTTTTTAATTAACTAATTCTATTCGGATTGCCCAAATCAAAGAAGTCTGGTTCTCAAAGTCTATTTCCGGCGGAAAGCACACAAGATATATGTCTATGAAGCGCTTAACATGGAAGCTAAAAAAAGGTAGGTGGGTACAAACGTAAGTCTATTTCAATAAATTCAAGTTCTAACAGCATGCATTACACGGAACATCACTAATGCATTTGATTTGAAACAGGTATCCTGTTCCCTCGATACACCAATACTTTTCAAGTTTTATGAATTCCTCTATTAAAAAAAGCGGTTTACCTAACATACCTAAAATGTTATTGTTCTAGAAATTAAAATTATGTTATCACAAATCGTAGTGGATATTTTACATCGACATCAAAATAATATCAGTGCCTTTAGAAACATGGCTCGAGTCAGTGTGTAACCTTTTAATTAAGCACCTTATTCCAGTTATTTAATTTTACCGTTTGGATCTCTGAATCATTTTCATTGATTTCCACTTCTGCAAATCCGAGGATTCGGAATGTGCGCATCGTTCCATAGCTAATTAAAAATATGTATAATTTTTCATTGTAACGCTTACGATGCTACTTAAGTCGGCAGTGGTGTTGGTTGTGTATCAGTATGTGAGGTTATGTAATGAGCGGCAAATAGCACCGTATGTTCGCATTTAAAAAAAACTCACTGTATATGACTGGGTAAACGTATTATTGGAATAACAAACAAAGCCAATATACGCAAGTTTGTACGTGATCCAACTTGATATTTAGAATATGGGACAAATAGTCGTTTTAGTTAACCCCTATTAATTGTGGGTGACAAAGATTCCCGTTTATTAAATGTTTTCCCAACTATTCAGCCCATTTGGAAACTTCAGACTTTTTGATCATTGTATACAGTTTACACCACCGGGTGGTCTCCATAGTAAAGTTATGTTTATGGATAACTACTGAAGTAAATTCCACAAAAATATTTCTTATGGCAGTTTGACAGCTGACACTCATGTTCGCTTTAAATTACCGATGAAGTAGCCACAATGCTTGCAAACTCACAATTCTCACACTACTTTGCTAATGGGAACTTGAATTCCATAGGAATTTTGTAATGACAAATGAAACTTCGCTAAGCAAAGTTAATAATGTTGAAAAAAAGCAGGGAAGTTAACGGCTGACAGTGGATCTTTCGGCGAAGTAATTAGAAAGCCACAATTTTACGAAAATCATTCCGTACCCTTTATTATTTTAACATTAAGCACCAATGCGTGAGCAATAACAGTTCGTGTAATTTTTTCCGAAGCAACCCTAACGTAATTGTCTATAATGGATATTGTGGGTGGTTGTGCGAGACTGCCGAGCTTGAAGCGATTTTGATATTACTCGTAATTTGGTTTACAGTTCGCTTAATGGCCGCTGTTATATCGCGATCATCCATTTAAACAGCTCCTAAATCCTGTTATTTAGTAAACTATTTTTCTTGCTGGAAGACTAATGACTATCGAGGTCTCAACTTTCCTGGGAGAGATTCGAAAAGTTCTACAATCAGTACTTGTGTCTGCACAAAATAAATTTCTTTCCTACTTCTAGTTGGAAAACCGTAACAAGTTCGCAACCGACATTGAGACAATAAGAAAACTAAATTTCTTTCTATCAAGACCCAAGACAACGTGCCCGATGCTCAATTGCGTAAATCTCTTTTTTTAGTAGCGGAGCGTGCCGCATGTTCCTAAGAGTCCATAAACAAACAACCTCATTATATTTCCTTCTCAGCTATTCGATCTCGTTTTTATGTTTTAATGAGCGCATATATCATTCTTTAAGACAAAATCGTTTGGTCGCGCCCCCGATTCGTCCGCAATCTTGGGTCGGAAAAATGCAATTACTGCGGAGGAAAATTAAAATTTTACACATTGTTAACTAAATTAAATTAGATTAGAGTCGCGAGAGCCGGACTAGTAAAAAATCTTGGCAGTATATCTCGACAGACGACAAAATAATCTTTTAATTCAGTTAACCGAATGCAAATGTCTTGCGGTGTTATTAGAACGATTTACAGACATTCATTTTTTGGCAGCTGCCGGTTTTGCGCGACTGTCGTTTATTATTTAAATTTTCTCTTTGTTTTGCATTCTTTTTCTTCTCTTGAAAATAAAAGAAATGGATACGGATACATAAATATAAAAGTTTATCATTGCTGTGATGCTGAGACGACTGAATACTTGAAATACTTTTAAGATCTCGTAAATTTTTTATGAAGGGATTTGAACATAACTTAATACACGTTTGTTAATTGATTTTACTGAGTAACCTTTTTCATTAAACCAAACGAACTCAAACGAAAGCGTTTTTAATTAAGAACACTTACAAAAAAATCACATTTTTATATGTAGTAATGTAGTCATAATTATTGTAATTAATGTAGCATCGCGTTTCGTGACGAAGTCATAAAGTGAGGGGGTGTTAAAGATTCATGCCGAGTTTATTTAATAAAATCAGTCCAATTACGCTAAATAGGTTTTAAATCGGGACTATAAATATTAATTTAGCAAAACTGTAGCGAAACAGAAATAGTCTGATATTGACACAGCGTGTGTTTCATTTTCCCGTTAGTGACATCTAACTGGCAGCTACCAATTATAGTAATCAAAATGGATGCTGTCAGGATAGACGTCGCAAATTTGATCAATGTACTGCATTTTATTCTCCCTATAAATTAATAAAATATGTGATGTGCAAAGGAAGTTAATGAAACATGTTTGCAAAGATTTACTGTTTGATAAACTCGGTTTTAGTTGGGCATGCGGTATTATTATGTAGGTTCTACAAGAGTCAGGACTCAGTTGCGGTTTCGAAACTTCGAGGACCTAGTTAAATCTAAATATTAATACGGCACTTGTTTTCGGGCGTCAATTGTTGTTAAAGTTCGTTGGGATCATTTTTTGTTTCGCAACCCTTAAAACAATACTAGTGCATAATTTTCCAGTGTCAAAAACAGTCAAACATTCTTAACTGCTTTCATAGTGGAAGTCTAACAAATTATTATAGTGGATAAGTAGAAGAATGCCGGCCAAAAATCGTCTGGCGAATATCGCCACTTAAAGACCAATTATACACATGTTTCTTATAGTATTTTTTTTTATTATACCTGCAATATAATTGAAAAATAAGGGAAATAAAATAAATTCGTATTGACGTTATACTGAAATACATGTCTAATTAAATGAGCTGATTATTCCTAATTCCAGGAGTGCCATAGAACAATCATTTGACGTTTGCTTATAAAAATCACTGTCTTTGTAAATAAAATGACTTCGGTTGAAAAGGATAACGCGTGGGTCCATTTAATGGGTTGTTGCGGGCGCAGACGAAAATTTGGTGGGTGCAAAATCCAAATCCAGTAAAGCCTATTATAAGATCATGAGAAGTTGTTTTCGCGGATGCATCTTACGAACAAAGTCTTAAATGTACCTATCGATAATGCTGGCATATATAAAGAAAATACCAAATCTTCTATGTTTTGGTTCATTAATTCAAAATTCAACGATATAACATCAAATATAATTATTCAAAAAATGTATTTATATAGGTACCCACAATGAATATTTCTTTGTTTTCTATTTTTTTTAATTACTTTATGAGGGTATGAGAAATAAAGGCTATTATTATTTCTCGTTTCTAATTGTCCGAGCGCAAAAGTTTCGTAATATTTTGTAATCATTCTATGTGATTTGTTTTTTCTTTCTTTCAATATTCTTTTTTCTTTCTTTCGTTTTTCTTCCTTTCCTTCTTTCTTTCTTTTCTTCTTTCTTTCTGTTTATCTATCTTTCTTTATTTCCCCTTTCAAATAAATCGAACAAACAGTTTGAAAATGATCGAATATGTTGACTTTTTTTGTGATATTTAAGTTGAAAGTAATAAACACGTCCATTAAATGAATCTTTCGTGCCTTTAGTACACTTTTGTATTATTTGGTACAAATTGTAGGTCTGACAATAGTGCTTTACTAGAGGATAGTTATATTTTATCAATAGTCAATCATTTACATAGTAGCGTATTTAAAGATATTGGAGAAGAAAAAAAATTATTCTAGCAAAAGCAATCTTAAAACACTTGGACACAAACAATTGGTTACGATTAATAATTTAAAGCACATTCATAGTAAAAGGCCGCGGACACGTTTAGGGTGAAAGTATCAATTATCTTCCAACTGAATCTTCCCTTAAATTAGTTTGGATGCACAGGGGGGTAATCGCTGAATTAAATGATTAGCGAACCAATAATGAGTCGTGGCTCGTTCCTTTGAAATTTCTACTTATCATTATGAATATTAAACAAGCTTAATATAAGCTTGTCTCCCCATAGAGAGGAGCGGTAACGGAAGTTCTACCCCAAGCGTCAGCGAAACGGCGCCCTGCTATTTGGTTTCGGTTTTCTTTCGAATAATTTCGCATTTGATGCCCCTGGGGACTATTAATCTTTAAACGTTATAATTGGTGTTATTTTTCTATCTAACATTAATTAAAGGGTGGGCATGGTTTCGCTTAACCTCTGCGCTGCAATACCATGCGGTATCGATTATTTTCTGTTTAATAATAGGGCCATCCCGGCTTCATTTTTCATTTCTGGTCTACAAAGTACGTTAAAAATGAAAAGACCCGTGTATCCTCAATTTTTATTTGGGAGTAAAATACACACAAAATAAATTATTGAAAAACTGTCCGAATTTGAAACGCTTCAGTCTAA